AAAAACAGTATAAAACTCTGATTGTCAAATTCATAGAAAATATATTTATCCTTATGCACTGTGTGCCTTCATTTACAATAGGCACGAGAAAAACTCTCAAGGCTTTACAAGTATCTGAATACAGAATGTACCTGTACATGTGTTATTGATGCTGATGGAGAGATTCGGGAGACTTGCAGTGAATCCATCTGAACATGAGCAATTGTAACTTCCCAACTGATTTGTGCAGTTAGAACAGTTAGAATATACAGATGAACTGAATTGACATTCATTTATATCTGGAAAGGGAATAACACATTTCAGAACAATATCTCAATATTTCTAACCCTTTTCTAATTACAGAAAAAAAATTATTAGAAAAAAATTTTTATATCTGAAAAACATCAAAATGCAAATAAATAAATCACACCTATGCACGGGTTACTGTTATTTATAGTCTCATTCATCTTTGTAACGTTATATCCTTCCCAACAAGAGCACGAATAGTTTCCATTGTAATTGGAACAGTTAGCATTCGGCCCACACACCAACGATGAGTTGAGACATTCATTAATATCTGAAATAAAACAAATGATGATGAAGATTAAAATGTTCAGTCTGACAGCATCAATAAAGTATACCAGCTTTGAATCATGTACAACAAATAGAAACTGACTGTTCAGAAATTCAGCTGTTGATTATATCAAAAAGAAAAAATCTAGGTTATTATTGAAGTTCAGAGTATACGTATGTGAAGCTAGAACCCACTTCTACATGTGTTATATGTTAGGTATTTTCTACATGCTCACCATTGCATGGGTTACTGGCGCTGACTGGTTCACTGCTATTTGTTACTGTAAATCCACTCAAGCAAGAACAGCTGTAACTCCCAACTGAGTTGGTGCAATGAGAGTTTGGACCACAGAATTCTGGTGTCTTAAGACATTCATTCACATCTTTATTTCAGGAAGAGATTAAGAACAGTATAAAACTCTGATTGTCAAATTCATAGAAAATATATTTATCCTTATGCACTGTGTGCCTTCATTTACAATAATAGGCACGAGAAAAACTCACAAGGCTTTACAAGTATCTGAATATAGAATGTACCTGTACATGTGTTATTGATGCTGATGGGGAGACTTGAGTTTGTTGCAGTGAATCCATCTGAACATGAGCAATTGTAACTTCCCAACTGATTTGTGCAGTTAGAATTTGAACCACATACAGATGAACTGAATTGACATTCATTGATATCTGGAAAGGGGATAACACATTTCAGAACAATATCTCAATATTTCTAATCCTTTTCTAATTACAGAAAAATATGTTATTAAAAAAAATGTTTTAAATCTGAAAAACATCAAAATGCAAATAAATAAATCACACCTATGCACGGGTTACTGTTATTTATAGTCTCATTCATCTTTGTAAAGTTATATCCTTCCCAACAAGAGCACAAATAGTTTCCATTGTAATTGGAACAGTTAGCATTCGGCCCACACACCAACGATAAGTTGAGACATTCATTAATATCTCAAATAAAACCAATGATAAAAATATAGCTGCTGATAAGATTAAAATATCCAGTCTGACATCATCAATAAAGTATACCAGCTTTGAATCATGTACGACAAAAATAAACTGATTGTTCAGAAATTCGGCTGTCAATTATATCAAAATATCTAGGTTATTATTGAAGTTCAGAGTACATTTCAGAACAATATCTTAATATTTCTAATCCTTTTCTAATGACAAAAATAAACTGATTGTTCAGAAATTCAGCTGTCAATTATATCAAAATATCTAGGTTATTATTGAAGTTCAGAGTATACGTATGTGAAGCTAGAACCCACTTCTACATGTGTTATATGTTAGGTATTTTCTACATGCTCACCATTGCATGGGTTACTGGCGCTGACTGGTTCACTGCTATTTGTTACTGTAAATCCACTCAAGCAAGAACAGCTGTAACTCCCAACTGAGTTGGTGCAATGAGAGTTTGGACCACAGAATTCTGATGTCTTAAGACATTCATCCACATCTTTATTTCAGGAAGATATGAAAAACAGTATAAAACTCTGATTGTCAAATTCATAGAAAATATATTTATCCTTATGCACTGTGTGCCTTCATTTACAATAATAGGCACGAGAAAAACTCTCAAGGCTTTACACGTATCTGAATATAGAATGTACCTGTACATGCGTTATTGATGCTAATCGGGAGACTTGAGTTTGTTGCAGTGAATCCATCTGAACATGAGCAATTGTAACTTCCCAACTGATTTGTGCAGTTAGAATTTGGACCACATACAGATGAACTGAATTGACATTCATTTATATCTGGAAAGGGAATAACACATTTCAGAACAATATCTCAATATTTCTAATCCTTTTCTAATTACAGAAAAAAATGTAATTAGAAAAAAATGTTTATATCTGAAAAACATCAAAATGCAAATAAATAAATCACACCTATGCATGGGTTACTGTTATTTATAGTCTCATTCATCTTTGTAACGTTATATCCTTCCCAACAAGAGCACAAATAGTTTCCATTGTAATTGGAACAGTTAGCATTCGGCCCACACACCAACGATGAGTTGAGACATTCATTAATATCTGAAATAAAACAAATGATGATGAAGATTAAAATGTTCAGTCTGACAGCATCAATAAAGTATACCAGCTTTGAATCATGTACAACAAATAGAAACTGACTGTTCAGAAATTCAGCTTTTGATTATATCAAAAAGAAAAAATCTAGGTTATTATTGAAGTTCAGAGTATACGTATGTGAAGCTAGAACCCACTTGTCCCGCCCATGAACTCTTTTGTGTGTGTTTTCCCTCCCTTGTTTGATTGTGTTCATGTCATCCAGGTGTGTCTAGTTAATTACCCCATGTATTTAGTTCGAGTCTGTGCTGTCTGTCTCTGTCGGGTCTACTCGTCATTCTATGTGCTCTGTGTCTCCTACGCTCCCTGTGTTCCAAGTGATTGGATTATTAAAGACTGTTTCTGAGTTCACTCCTACGTCTCCTCGTTCCCAGCTCCTGAGAATCGTGACATGACTTCTACATGTGTTATATGTTAGGTATTTTCTACATGCTCACCATTGCATGGGTTACTGGTGCTGACTGGTTCACTGCTATTTGTTACTGTAAATCCACTCAAGCAAGAACAGCTGTAACTCCCAACTGAATTGGTGCAATGAGAGTTTGGACCACAGAATTCTGATGTCTTAAGACATTCATCCACATCTTTATTTCAGGAAGATATGAAAAACAGTATAAAACTCTGATTGTCAAATTCATAGAAAATATATTTATCCTTATGCCCTGTGTGCCTTCATTTACAATAACAGACATGAGGAAAAACTCAAAGTTTTACAAACATTTGAATATACAATGTACCTGTACATGTGTTATTGATGCTGATGGAGAGATTTGAGTTTGTTGCAGTGAATCCATCTGAACATGAGCAATTGTAACTTCCCAACTGATTTGTGCAGTTAGAATTTGGACCACATACAGATGAACTGAATTGACATTCATTTATATCTGGAAAGGGAATACATTTCAGAAAAATTTTCAATTTCAAAAATCAATTTTTCAAACATTCAAACAACAGTGTTTAGAAAAGACTTGAATATATAAGAATATTCTAACAACTTCAACATCATCAACAAAACAAAAACATGATAATGCAAATTCAATGAATCACCTCTCTGGCAAAGAGGACCCTCTGAAGGGAGAGCTTGAATACATCCACAAGTGCCTCCCACAATACCATCACACACCTGATAGGCCCAGCAGGTGTCATTGGGCCAAAAATACTGCTCCTCACACTTGCACTCATATTCTGTTCCATTTAACCCACACACTGTAATAGTAATGGTAAGGCAAAACTGATCAGTTTATATTATTGGTTAAACTTAATATGACATAATCCAAAATAAACCCAGACAGGTTTATTATAATATTGAGTCAATCTGAAGGAAGCCTTTTTTTGTAATAATGCCTGCTAACAGACATCTACTAAAAGTCTCATTTTTATCTTAAATCTTCCGCTAAAAAACTTAGCAACGTTACATGTCTTTCTGTCTATTTTAAGTTAGGCTATTTCTTATCCAGCTTATCTTGCCAGCTTGTTGTTCTTCCAAGCGATATGCGTTTTCGTCCTTTAATTCCAGCAATTTATCAAAAGGTTTGTGCTTCCTCCTCCATAAATTGAACACTGAAGTCATTCAAGACCATTTTTATCAAAGTCAGAAGTCACGTTGAGTCGCAAGATGGCGCGATTCAGCTATTCTAAATTGCTGTATGAAAAGACACACGAGACCGCGGAGTAGCGACAGTGCGTTGCTATGGAGGACAATCGTTGCTATGCTGCGATTAACCATTAACAAACTCAAATATTCCAGGGGGCTGTGTAATTAAGTTTAATATTTCTTTAGCAATTATTTTATTTTCACATGGCATGAATGAAACAGATTCTTACCAGTAGTCATGTCGATGTGTGTGATGTTTGTGTTGTTGTTCAGAGTCAAAGGCAGGCTGGTGTGTGTGACGAGATTGCGCAAGTAGTCCACCAGGAACAAGTCCGAAAAGTTTACATCAATTTCAGCCTCATACTCATGCGTATACTCAGAAAGTGGCTCTGCGAGAACAAACAGTAAAGGTTTGAGCGGAACAATTGCTGCAATTATTGTTAGATTATATCACGCTCTCTGCCAGAATATTTTTGTGAGTTTACCTCTCTGTGCTCTCTCTCTTACCCTCCCTTTCTCTCCCCTTGTGCTTTTCCCTCCTCCCATCTGTGATCTCTCCCTCTCTATTCTCTATTCTCTATTCTCTATTCTTACCTGGCTTTATCTCAATGTATACACGCATGCATAGGATAGGCCTACTTAGGGTTCAAATGGTGGGGGCCCTTTTCAGACCCAGGTTACTGGGTTTAGTCTGTCCTTTGCTGAAGGTTGAAATGTCCCTCTCCCAGAAGTATTCCTTATATGTCCAGATCCTATATTTATCTTATATAACCCGTATTTTTTAGCTCATATACAACACATATGTAATCTGTATCTTATTGGTTGAAAGGGGTGCACCACCCCTATTGTATCCTTATATATACCCGGCCTAGTATAAGACAATAAAGATTTGAAGAAGTTTGTGAACAGGCAATTGGCTTCATGTTCATAATTCTTTCCATGGGCCCATGCAAGGACTGAGAATAGTCGGACGGCATCAAAAGATAAAGAGCTAAGATATTCTTAACAATTATATTTTTATAATGTTAAAAACGTTTCCAATTTATAATAGCCAGGCTACTATAAATAGGAAATATTGTTATTGCACAACTTTGCATTTGTTTCACCTTGGCAGAACTGTCCGTCGACTGGAAGGGCATTGATACATGTACAAGAACCATCAGTGATGTCATCACAGGCCTGGTATGAGTGACACGTGTCATTCAGCCAAACAAACAGACCCTCACATTTACACTGATACTGTGTTTCATTCAAAGAACACACTGAAAAACAGAAGAGGAAGAGTGGAATAATTGACAGAGTAGATATCAGTAGTTATGTTCTGTTTTTTTATAACTTTAGTAGTGTCACTACTTGTAGATTGTAAATTTAGACATCAGAAGGATCTTTAGCTAATGAATGATGATGCTTTGACAGTCTCACCTGTTGAAATGTTGAAAGCTGTAATTTCAACACCATTGTCCATTTGAAATGGAAGTATGAGAGAGTTAACAGAAGATCTGATTTTGCTGATCGCTGCCATTTCGGATGCATTCACTTCAACAACCATAATGTATTGCACTGGATCTATACATAAGAAAACATAATGTGATTTCAGTAACCATGAGTGCAAGAGTAGGTCAATATCAAGCCACTCTCTCAAAACAAATAGCCTATAAATGAAAATAATTTGTTTATTTTCATATATAAAACATAAAACTATTATCTGTATTTGAGTGGAAGACAAAACTGTGAACCAGACCTGCACTTCTTCGTCTTATATGATGCACTGGCCCATCTGTGTAGCTAAACTGGAATGATATATATATATTTTTTAAATCTCACACTGAATGAATGTTACTAATTCCAAAAGTATTTATTTAATAATTATTTACATATAAATGTTTATCACATGACTCAACACTTTTTTGTGGTCACTGTTGCAT